GCATATGGGATGTTAATATTTGTTGGTAGAATACTTAGCTTGTATTTAACCAGTTCTTTTAGAGAGTCTAGTCTTGTGAGGGAGTTGACAATTTTGTCTAGTGGCCACATTTGTGCATCGTATGTGTTAAGTTGTTTTTTTCTAATATCAGATAGAAGATAAATACCATGTCCATATAATGGTTAAGATATACGACAACAATAATTTAAATCAGTACAATAATCACAATATTTCATATGTAATTCTTCAACTTTATCGAGATCACATATATTCAAAATTGAAATTTGATTAACACCTCCACAACAATAATTTACTTCTTTGTTTCTGAATAATTCTCTTTTATCCATCCTGTCTCCATTTTTTATCCATATATATTTTTTATCTTTAGTGAGTTTGAATCTGTAAATTAACACTTTCGATTCTTTTACAAATTCATAAAATCCATGTATTTCTTCATTTATATCATAAGATGAACATACAACATTAAATAATTTACATGTTATTCTCAATTTTGCTTGTTCAATAAAAGTTAGATAAGAAAAAATCTGATACCAAATATCAAAACAAATATTGCTCATGATTGAATAATTAAAAAATTGCTCGGTGATTAACTCACTGAGCAATTAAAAATATTTATTAAAATAATATAATAATTACAATTCTTCTAATTCAGGTTTTATCCAATCACGATATTGTCGCATAGCTTCACGATTAATAATATACTTAAAATTATCTGATTCTTGATATTTTTTTGACTCTTCATCAGAAGTAAAAGAGAAAATAATATATGCAGAACTTGTAATAGTATCTTCAACTTCTTCCTTTACATTATCAAACTCTGTTAAATTAACTATATCTGGATTATTAATACCTATACGACGATATGTTTCATCTTTTACTTCTGTTTCAAATTGATTTTTTAATTCATAATATACTAATAAATTTTGCTCGTCAAATGTTAGTTTAATATTATTATCTATTTTTGATTTTATATATTCAAGAACAACAGAGATTATTGTTTTATCATCATTATCTCCATAGTAAAAATTATCTTGAAGTTCATCATATAATTCAGTTTTAGATTCTGAATTATCTAAAGAACTTGAATTATTTAACTCTTCATTTGAAGACATTTTTACGTGATTAACTTTCTGTTTGGTGATTATTTCACTAAACAGGTATATATATTTTTTTCCAGAAATATATTAATATTTTTAACTTTAATTTTCATTTAAATCCTTAATAATTTCTAAACAAAAATCTTCATCTGATTTTTGCTTTGCTTCTGAAAAACAATTATGACATAAATTATGCATATGAAAAGCATCTAATATTTTACAATTCATACACTTGTATTTATCAAGATACATATAATGCTCTGGACAACATTTTTTTATCTCTCCATTCTTCAATATATCTGATACGATATCATAGATTTTACATGTTTCAAACATACATATATAATTTTTAACTGTAGTTTGTTGAAGATTTGTAAATTTCTTATATCCATCACAGACTCTTCTCTTGATATTAGTTACATATCGTTTGTTATAAGGATATAAAAAGTAATATTCAAGTCCATAATCAATCTTACCAACAGCATTACAATATAACAAATTTTTATAATCTCTTTCAATCTTTCATTTTGTTTCAGAATCAAACCAGATATAATCTTTATCAACTTTTAAAATAGATTTGATGTAAAACTCATCAATCACAAAACCTTTTCCATATCGAATACATCGATTATAATACATCACATGTATATCTGGATCTATTTCTTTTATATTTCTATCAGAGAAATAAATATGTTGAACATTTTTGTTGTATATAAGTTCAAATATTTTGAGAAATTTTTTTGAGACAATACATATTTTTATCTCATCTTTAAAAGAGAAGTATTTGAATATTCTAACTAATGTTTCAATTGGTAAAAGATTTAAAAGTGAAATTGATTCCATTTTTATATAATTAAATTTTCTAACGATTCAAAAAATAAACTGTTAGAATTTTTTTTATTTACATTTTGATTTTTTTGATGATTCTGAATTATTATTTTCTAATTTATTATTTTCTAATTCAACAATTTCTAGTTTTCGTTTTCGATAATTTTCAAAAAGTGTTTCTATACGCATCTTTTTAGGAACAAGAATATCAGCTTCTTTTTTTTTCTTTCTTTTCTTTGTTTCTATCTTTATCTCTGGTATTTGAATAGAAGAATCTCCAAAATAATCAGTGATAAGTTTCTGATTTTCTTCTTGAGTTATCTTTTCAATTACCTCTTCTGCTCTTTTCACATCACAACAAAGTATGTTAGAGCATATATCTTTCAAGCTTTTAAAATAATGAAGTGTGTCTATCTCTTGAAAATTTTTCTTAAATTCTGAACATAACCACATCTTTTCTGATATACTCTTTCCATCAAATATAATAACAAAGTAAAAAAAGTGACCTGGTTCAATTATAATTTTAAATTTATCTTTCATACGTGTTGCAAAATTTATTACCATCGTATTTCCTTTTGTTGTTTTGATATGTTTCCATTTTTCAAATTCTCTAACAGTCATCCTACTATAACTCAGATCATATTTTGCTGTGAGCTTAAATACCTCAAGATCATTATCAAAATTTTTTTTAAGATATTTTTTTATTATCCTACGAACAACTTGCGTTGAATTTATATTTTCATTCAATAAAACTCTATTCTTATTAAATCCTAATACTATCCATAACATTTCTTCAGCAACTAATTTATAGAACTTTGATGCATTTCTCTTTACAACCCTTAATCCTTTTTTAAATAATTTTGGTGAATCAAATTCAATACTATTCTCATGAACAATACCACAATATTGCTTCTTTTGAAAAAATCTCCATGGCATCACAGTTTTTTCATAAGCCATTTTCATGTACGAACTACCAATATGTTGTTTGAGAAATTCATTAACTTTATATTCTAGATCTTTAGATAACTCGAATGTCTTTTTTATCATCTCGTACAGAAATAATTGTTTTATCTTTGAAAGTATAAAGGGTGAAATTTTTCTCTTGATATAATATTTGTTGAATAAATGTATAAATTCTTTTATAGAAATTATGAAAAAAAATGAATCTGTATCTCCATAAATTATTATATATCCAAGACTTTTAGCATATTCTATTACTAATCTAAAACAATAACGTGCAAATGCTGTTACAGATGATGAGATCTCTTTCTTATAAAGAGGTGAAAATATATAACCATTTTCACCATATATAGAGTTTGCAAGTACTTTTAATGCATTAGATAAAGTTTCATAATGTTTTCGTAATGTTTCAATCAACTGATTTATTTTTATATTCTTCTTAGCATCACCTCTTTCAGACAATAATTCTCTACACATCAATGGCATCAATCCCATTTTTTTTGGATCATTATCATGCTTCTTAAATTTTCCATAAATAACATCTCTATCTGTTACAGTATTCACATTATCATCTTGTGAATCAATATCAACATTTGTATCTTTAGAAATATTTTGTGTTATTATAGCGCTAGGATACATAGAAGTAAAATCCAAATCTGCTACTAGTAACTGAATACCTAATGTATCAAGATATGTGATCAAATCTTTAATTGGCATCTTTAATATTTCTAAAAATTCATTCAAAAGTTTATCAAGATCCGTAATATCAAATTCATTTGGCTCTAATACTAATCCTCCTTCATATTTACTACCAATTTCTATAATACCTTTATGTTTCATTGAAATTAACATATCATGTTTTGATACGTATCTTTCATAAAAATTACGTACCATACATTCAACACTATTCATGAATACATTAGAAATAGTTACACATGTTAATTTAGCAAATTGTATATAGTTTCCTATTACATCTCGCTTTATTATCAATTCTTGACAACGTATAGAGTCAACTGAACAATAATATGCAATATCAACAGCATATCTTTCAAGTGTCTCATCATCTACAAGAAATTCTGATAAACATCTTTCATAACTAATAAATTTACAAAGTTTTGAAAGTTGTTCTGCTAAACGTTTTAGCATTTCAAATTGATTTTTGAATTTTACTGCATTCACATATATAAACATACAACGTAAATTATCATGTTCCTTAAAAGATGTTTCATCTGGAATATATGGTAAATCTATTTTCCCTTTGAGATCACATCTCACAAGAACTGCATTTAAAGTGTTTGTTATCTCAGTTGGAAATGTTTTTTTTGCCCATACCAACAAATCTATATTTATAGTTCCTGATATGTAATAATATTCACAATCTATTGTTTCATTTGGATTAAATTTTATATTTCGATTGTTTATATTTAGACCAGCAAATGAATATTTAGCCATCTTATCTTCAACATTCTTTTCAAATACCTTTACTTTTGTTTCTTTAATATTATAATTAATAGGTGCAACATTACCTAATAATCTCTGTGTAAATTCATCTTCTAACTCGTATATTTTCACTTTCTTTAATAAAAAATACTCAATTAGAAAATTATTCTAATATTTTTAAAAAACCAAATATTGGTAATCGTTCTGATCTGATCAATGAAGAACCTGATAGTAGATTATTTTTTATATATGATGCTACTGATTCTAAAGATAAAAATAATAGATATATAATGAAATTACATGCAGTTCGATCTGATAGAAAAAAGATTAGTATTGATTTGATAATTAGTGATATCTTTTTTGATATTAAATTAAATAATAAAGAATTGATTGATGAATATATTAATGAGTTTGAAGCTAATAGTTATGTTATTTTTGAGAAGCAACTATTTGATTTAACAGAAAGACATAAATTTATATGATTATATTTTAAGAATTATACTTTCTATAAAAAAGTACTTGAGAAGATAAAAAAAATTGAAGATAATTTGAGTGAAGAATTTGAAGAAGTAAAAAATTTATTAAAAGATAAAAAAGATATACGTAAATGAATTGAAGAATTTTAGAATTATTATGATACTTATTCTGATGATCCTTTATATTATTATCAAAAAATAGTATATGAGAATGATTTTGAGATAATAAGATGGTATAGATTATTAAATTTAGATATTACACTTACAAAATTTATTAGTATAAATTTATCAGATATTGAAAAGTTAAATTGTAATGAGCAACCAAAACTTCTCATATTATCATGGGATATTGAGACTAGTAGTACATGTGGTTCAAGTTATTTCTTTGTAAGTGAACAGAAAGAAGATTATGTATATATGATACAAGTTGATCTCTATTAGCTATCTAAAAAAGAACCTGTTAAACATTATTGTTTAACTTCGATATATGTTAATAAAAAATTATTTGAGGGAATATATCAAATATCAATAAATAATTTTGAGTTTATATATTGTAAAACACAAGAAGAAATTATATTAAAATTTGTAGAAATAGTAGGAAATTACAAACCAGATATTGATTGTAGATACAACATCTTTGGATATGATTAGAATTTTATATTGAAGAAAGTAAAAATATACAAGTTAGAAGATAAATTTATACAAAGATTATTAGGTAATATTGTACCTATTAATTATAATATTAAAGAAACAAAAGTAAAGATATTTGAGAAGAATGTTGAAGATAAGATGACTAAATATTTATTTGCTAGTCAAAATATAAACAATCGAAATATAAAATTTAATCTAAATGAAATAATGAATTGTGAATATTATTATATATTAAGAACTATAAATATAGATTTGTTAATATAAGCAAAAAAAACATTTCCAACTAAGATAACAAATACTTTAGATACAGTTCTAGTAAGATGCAGACTCAAAGAAAAAATAGATTTATCATATATTCTAGATAAAATATCTTTTAAAGAACAAGATGATTTATATTATATATTCATATATGTGAATGCAGTAAAATTTAAAAATCAATTTGAAATGCTAAAACGTTTAGCAAAACAATTATCAAAACTCTGTAAATTTATTAGTTATGAAAGATATTTATTAGTATTTCTTGTAAATAATGAGATACTTGAGAGATATGTTATTGATATTGTATATTATTGTTTAATTGATTCAATATGTTGTTAAGAATTGATGATAAAGTGAGATATAATAGGAAATTATATACAATTTGCTAAATTAACATGTATAACTATTTCTAATGTATTTATAAATAGTGTTGGATATATAGTACATAATTTTTATAGAAGATATCTATCAAAATATAATATGTTAATTTCAATAAAATGAAAAGGTATTATAGAGATTAGTAGTAAATATAAAAGAGTATTAGTATTAGAACCAGAGAAATAGTTCAGTGACCTAGTATAGTGGTTAGGTTGTTGGACTACTATGCAATAAGTTTGGGGTTCAAATCCTATTGTCGACGAATTTGAATAATTTCTTAGACCTTGTAATATGTTACAGTAAACTCTGTTTGTTTTTGGAAACATACTGCTATAAATTAAGTTGCATCAAATTGATCAGAACTTGGAAGTGTAGTGTAATATTACATGAATAAATCTTAATAGAATATATAAGCAGGAGATCTGTATAGTAGAAATCCTAAGTAAGTAATTAGTATAGCCTTCTAACAGGACTATATCAGCTAAAGTCTGATCTGAGAAGAAAACTTAGTTTAATAAAA